CCCTCCCGCTTTAAATATAATGATCTTGTTCTATTTTGCATTTCCTTGTAACTTCCACTAGTTACAGTATTTATTACGATGATCAAGATTAGTTTGAAGCCCATTACTAGAATTTGACACTATCACAGTATCATCAGCAAATAATAAACAGTTAAAATTATTCTCTAAGCTAACCGGATTAGAAAAAATACTATTAGAAAGATCATTGATAAATATGTTGAATAGAAGGGGGCTTAATGTAGGAGGGTCATCACATGCGCACGCGCGGGAATTGAGTCCCAAGCTACGATAACAACACACGCTAAAAACGCAAAGACTTTTGGTTAGACGCTTGTTTGTAAACAGTGACACGCAATGGCCATCTGACGCATGCGCAGGTGACGACTCCCCCGCTTTAAATTGCACCCTTGTTTCACTCCACAAGACGATGAGATTGAATTGTGGCATCCATGTAGTTTTGATTGCACATTTGTTACAGAATACATAGATCTTATCACTTTTCCTATAACTCCAGCTTTCAGTAATTTGTATAGCATGCCCTCTCGCCAAGCACTACGAAAAGCTTTGCGCAGACCAACAAAGCAAGCATATAGATGAAATTTACCTGCTTTGTTGACATATTTATTTATCAATGATTTTAAAATGTTTTTTTTTTATAAAAAACAAATTGTGTATTTCTCATTTTGATTGTCTGTTGTTAATTATAATGTTCAGGACTTTTGATATAAAGTTTGACATCTGTCATGTTTTCACTTTTATGGAACAAGGTAACTGGTACTCCATTCAGTTGAAAACGCACCATTTAATAGAATTTGATTTCTTCAAGCAGATTATTAATGAAGGGTTTGAGGAGAACTTAAGCATCTTATTGATGATGGCATCAGGACTTTCAGGAAGTTTGCCAGAAAAGCCTTGTTGACAAAACACAGGTGTAAATGACGAGGGCTTTTCATAGTGGCGTCCAGTTCAATGAGTGCCGTTTATAGTCAATGTACCATCACCATGGCTGCACATCAGGTTGATAGAGTGGGTGACTGGTTGATAAGGGATCAGCATAAGGAGATGCTTTTAGCAGATGGAAGAAGAAAGTTGGGGGCACCTCGTGGACAGATAGGGTGCTGGCTTACTGGAGGAGGTTTGAAACAAGAAAGTTCTAGTCTGTTGCAACAACTTGACGATAGTCATGTGCGTCACAACAGGCAGCGCATACAAAATCCCTGATGCTAAGCCATCTGGTGAAGGGCATGATCTCTGGTGCAACAAAAATGGAACATAGTGAGGCTGAGAAGATCCAAATGATGCACTTTCACCAACCTTAAACCTAATGCATAGCATGTCATTGTTTACAAACAAGCGTCTAGCATCTACCCATGAGCCTTTGCATTTCTAACGCGTGTTGTTATCGTCGCTAGGGACTCAATTCCCGCGCGTACGCAGATGATGACCCTCCCGCTTCAACCATACTTATTTTAGACTTAATTATTTATTATTCATTGTTTTGTTCTCTTTTATGACTATAAATGTGGAAATTATTTGAGTAGTCTTGTGATTTCTACTTTACATTTTAAGGGTATTGGGGGCATGAAGAACAAATAAAGAAATCTTGTATTTACTATATTATTGTCTTATTTTTACCACAAACTTGCCAGAGACTAGTAATGCATAATAATTAGATCACATGACCATACATTGATTTCTACCCTAAAATATCCAAAACACCTATGTACCAAGTTATAAGAGACATCTATGGCAAGATTTCTCAGACTATTTTTAATTGTATTTCTTACAACTTTCATGTGAATTCCTTTAATAAAAAAAATAAGCAATCTAAAAATAGGTAATTGGTATGCAAATTAGCTGATTGATATGCACATAATATTAGCAACTCTCACAAGACATTCAAACTATGTTGCAGGTTTCAATGTACTTGTAGGATGATAAATGTGGTTTTGCACCAAAAAGTAGCATTCATTATCAAGTTTTTGTACCATATTGCATTCCAATCAAGTCAGTGGTTCTCGAGATATTGGTGGAACAAGATTTGACGTACACATCAATTCAGATAGACGGACGGACAGACATGGTTGCTCGGGGGAAGAAGATAAAGTAAACTGCTTTAATTTCACGAGACAAATCTTTGCGAGTCAAAGGAACCATACAATCTTTCAGCAGCAAACATTTCAGTCATGACATTTCAAAGTGCCATAAATTGTTATTTGATGATTTAAATGAACTTCTCTCAAATCAGACAAGCTTATAATAGTTGCACTATGTTTTGTATTAGTGTACACATGCACACTCCACATATCTCTATAATAAATTAAATGTTTAAAAAAAAATGTTTTATTTATACAATACGGAACTGTACATAGATGTCCCAATTACCTGGTACTAAGTATGTAGGGTAGAATTCTATTACATTTCCATCAACATGACACAGATTTTGCTTTACCTTGTATTGTTAAATGTACACAACAAGAAAATTGAGAATAATCTGTCACACAATACCATGGTAAACCTCCATTCAGTGGTCTTAATTTACCCGCTATTTAGATGATTACATCAAATATCAAGGAATATTTTTCTCATTGACAAACATTGACATCCGACAACATTACATATGAATGTACTGCATCAATAATGGAAAAGAAAATCAACAAACCCAGCCCACCGAAGGTCTACTTCGGCCAAGTAAATAGGAGCCACCCTCCCTGATCGAATTTCTGGAACCGCCCGCCATTAGCACAGTCATTATTTTAATATATCAATTTGTATATTCTTAATATACAGGTGAGTATATCACCTACGCCAAGCATGCTTCAGTGTTTTGTATTCTTTTTCAAATTTCTCAAAATCAGATTCATCAAATATGGTTGTGTCTTCCTCCTCCGTCTCGGCAACAACTCGGTCTTTTGAAAGTCTGCCCCTATGGTGAGTTAAAATCTGAAGAAAAAAAAAAAAAACAGAGTGCGAGATCAGAAACAGTATTTCCCATAGTTAGCCGCCCTCCTCCTCTCTAAAGAGCATTACCCAACATTCAATACTACATGCATCCATTCCTCATCTTACAAGCCACATCCCGCAAATACTAAAACATTAAAGGGCAGTAGTTGTCATGCCACGTATGCGTGAGATGTGGGTCTCATATAAAAATGATGACAATTTTGACTGCTGTGCAGACCAACAAATACAAACTGAGACATTATCAAGCTTTAACTATGTAATTTCTTAATTTCTAGCTAATTAAGTGCATGTTGCGCCAAGGTCAAAACCCTTACTCGTGTTTTCCACCAGAAGAGTGCATTGCATTGTGGGAAAATCAATGTTTATCAACATAAATGTTGCACATGCATGACGCGTTGTCCACCGCCCTAACAATTTTGAACCAGCTGAAACCCCTGTGCTCCAACTTCTGCAAGCCACCAACACATTTGTATATTTCTTACTGTCATGTATGTTTCCTCCTTGCGTAACTTTGTTCTGTTTTCCAACATGTACTGTAAATTTGTCTCTGAATTATCTTCTGTACCCCTACTGAGATATGACTCTGAAAGATAAAGTGAGATATTACAGTCTCTCGCAGTCATTTGATAATTATTTGAAAGAATCATTTTCTTTAAAATTTTCAGCAAATTGCACTTGTTTACGCTTTGTGTGCATGTTCGAAAATAAAATAACGATGTTGCTCACTACTTCTATTATTACACATACATGTCCTGATTAAGTTTGATCCAATATAGTTTCATGAACATGGAAACTTACGTATTTTTACAAACAGGTCAGTACCCCTCTTTTTTGATGCTTCATTATTCGGAGTTTCAAAAAACTGTCTAAATTGAACGAATTATGTTTTATTTTTCCCCCCCATAAAGTCCCATACACTAACTCCACAATTTCAAAAGTTTATTTAAAAAATTATGATATTGTATAGTAATAAGAAAGCTATTTGCAAAATATTGAAAAAAAAAATCCATAAATTTTCATTAAACTGTATTGAGCAATCTTAGTGGTTACAGCAAATCATGATTACTGTCGTGCTGATCAATGGGCATGTGCTTGTTGATTGTGGCCATCTCTCTGTCAAATGGCAATTTTAATGCGTTATCTTCGTGTCAACCAGGCTTGGTCGAACACAAGCACCTGCAGACCTTAACCAAGGTTCCCCCAAAGTCGCATTCGTTAGTGAATGAATCTCGGCCAGTGGAATTGGCCTTCCCATTGAGTCTGTGGCACACTCACCCAGGGTAGGGGTCGACCCTTTTGATGTTCAGCCTAAGGAAGGATTTGAACTTGGGTCTACCGGTCACGAGTCTGATGCGACAACCACTATGCTGCCAGTGACCGGTAACTTAGCTTATATCATCTAATCAAGTGCAATTACATGCTGACATAAAAACAATTGGTGATTTGAGAGAAAAAGAAGAAATAATCAGTCAAAATGATCCATCATACAATTGATAATGCAATTTTTGTAAATGTTTCAACTAAAAACTGTTTTATGTCTTACTCATTGCTACAGTGTTTGCAAACATTTGAATGAGCGATGCCTTCACCTTATAATACATAAAAACTTAGTACAATATTTCTTTAATTGACTGATCAGTTTTGGAAATTTTGTTACAGCAATTCCAGGCACTGATTTGACGCTGAAGTAGTGCTAGATGTTGATAACTTACTACAGTAAGTTACACACTTTGTTTTCAAATTTACAGAAGTTGTAACTAGAAATATAAACATCGACTGCAAATCAGAGGAATGATTGACAGATATTGCCTACAATGTTTTCTATTTTTGCTACAAAGTCAGGTACACCTAGACTTTGAGGTGTGCCTGTCTTTCATTCACTTTTGGTCGGTCATCGTGTAGTTTGTGTCTACAAATCGGCATTTGTCCAAGTTGTTTAAGCACCACGATGGAGAAGCAAGGAGTCAAAAAACCAGTTGAAGTGAGAACAAAAATTGTCGATTTGTATTTTTGTGAACTGTCATTTGCTGAGATTAGAGATCGAAATGGTGTTTCAAATCAGACAGCTTATAATATCGTCAAACGGTTTTACCACCGAGAGTATCCTGCCAGGAAACTGACAACGTTATAGACTATGTCGAATATTATAAAACATTGAGACCGCGCATTTACGAACGGGAAATTCGACAAAAACTTTCTTCCGGTGTACTTCAAATTGGAGACATGCTGTCTGCATTATTTGTAACAACTTATGTAAATGTGAAAACAAAGTGTGTAACCTATTGTAGTAAGTTATCAACATCTAGCACTACTTCAGCGTCAAATCAGTGCCTGGAATTGCTGTAATTCACTCTTTACAATTTTTGACATGCACTTTGCCCTTGATAATATTGTACTCCACACTTGACATTGTAAAAACATAATGGATATGAAAATTTGAACATGGCATTTATATCCGCACAGAAATGCACTACCAGAAAATAGCAGGCACAAAGTCAGTCAAGATAGTTGATCACCTACCAATGGCCGACTTAATCTTCTTGTCTTTAACTGTTGACATGGGTTTTTTGCTTTCAGTTCCAAGCAATTTCATTCGTTGTTTCTTTACTCCTTTTTTGTTAGTACTTGGCAATTCCATTTTCTTTGATCCACTTCTTTTTTTCTTCCTCCTTTCAGATTCATTGCTACATTCTGAAAGATGTAAAATATGTATATTTTTGCAGATGAATACATATTATTTCATATTTTCAGGTGAATTAGTATTTTCAATTATTCACTAGGTTTTAATTTGGTTGTCAAATAAAAGAAAACCACTTGTGTTGCTGCAGTGAATATTCAAATTCACAGTGGACCTCACTACAATAATTTCTGGTAATGAAGACGATTGATGGCAAATGTTCGTAAAAATCTGACAACCACTTTACAACGCACTTCAACAACTTATTCAGGGCGTGTATTCATCAGTGGTGGTGTTACAGCGTTTGTTCTGATTGGTCAATGGCATTTTTCAAATTTATAAGTATTTTATGATTATTACTCGCAAGTATTGGAAAGAGCTTCTTTGAAAGTACTGTTCAATGAAGTGAACAAAGGCATGTACAAAATGTATGTTATAAATTATTTCTAAACCTACATATTTATAAACGCAAATGAAAGTTCCTTATGTTATGACTTGAGTATTTCTTCCGAGTTCGACATTACATGAATATTGAAGATGATTAGACGTCATTAGTAGATGCTACAATTAGTATTAGGATAAATCCACATGGTTACCTGGTTTGATGTCATCTTTAAATAGCTCTAAACCCTTTCGAACTAAAGCAGCTGACATTGTGCAATATAAACGATGACTCCCTCACACGTTGAATCTGTCGCAGTCAGCTGTTCAAACTGGAATGCCTAACTCTCTGATATTAATCGCTAGGGTGTTTTTCTTTGGTCCTGTATATTTCTGTTTGGAAAATATTTGTTTCCAATTAAAAGTAATTGACATACCACAAAACATGTATGTAGGGCTCTATACGATTGTGTTTATAATCAGCAAAATTAAAATTAACTTCCAATACTCGAAGATAAACTAGGTGGTACGGATACCACCGTTTCCACGGGTTTTCACACCTTCATCACTATTGGTCAGAAATCTAACCCGTACATACATTCGACCAATTAAACGCTGTGTTACAAAGTAGACATCATATAGGTGTTCATGTTCTTGCCCCGCCATCGAAGAAGTCGGATTCGACTATAGAGATCTTGCAACTTATCGTTGTTCTGTGTTATCCTGTGTAATACGTAACTATTCTCAGGTAAGAGGTGTGGATCTAATTCTACGTATATAATCGTGGCATAGCTGATACAACGGTTGTATGTGAACTGAAACACGAGTATGGTTGATGGTTTTATGAGTACAGCTGCGATAAAATTGAAAATACGTTCAAAATCGAGCTATAAATTTGATGAGTATCTCATGTTTGAAAAGCTATTTTTTATTAACCCAGAAAAGTACTTGGAAATTAAAGGTGAAAATTCAAAACTCCACCATACTGACTGAACACTTGAACTACCGCACATCGCGATATATCAAACATCGTATGAAATCAAATTGTGTTCAGTGTTCATTTCCTTTCAGATTGAATTGCGTCCAGTAATTAAATCAAATCACAGCAAATTTGCGTTATTGATGCCTATTATATCTCGACGTGTCACTCATTTAG